GCTTCCAGTTCAGCTGCACAGGCATGAGCCCCAGGTTCAGGGAAGGGCCTGCCTTTAAAAGGAATTAGTGGAGTGTGATACAGGAGGGCACAACGCAGTCTTTTCTGATCTCCGCATGCAAGGACAGATGAATCCAACTAAGAGAGTGAGAGTACATGCATTTGTGCACACACACACACACACACACAAACACACACAGGGAGACACACACACAAATAAACATGCACAGAGAGACACAGAGATAAATACACACAGTAATAAACAAATATAAGCACTATATAGAATCAGGCTTACATATAATTATGATAAAATTGTATTGGTGAAATTGAATTTAAAGATTATAATAATGACATAAAACATTGTAAGAGAGTCTTTCTATCTCTATATGATATACCTAACGTGTTCTGATTCAATTGCTGAAACTATTCTGAGATGCTTACATTAGAGAAGGCTTTGGAGTGCTGCATTATTTATAGAAATATGTTCAGCAAATTCATGCTGACTGTATACATTTGTCATAACTAACTTTAATGCACCCACTGACAATGTGGGAGCAAGAAGATTGTAGACTTTGTAGTCAGGCTAGAAGTTACAAAAGCTTTGCTTTCTGGTTAGATGTTAATTAACCTCCTTGTGCCTGCCTCTTATTTTGAAAGAAAATAAGAACTTAAGGCACTCCATAAAAGAAAACCCTTTTCCTATTGATTTACTTCACCCATGTTCTTTAACTAAAACAGACTGGATTTTATAGAGTGAGAAAAATACCAGCAGTAATGCTAACCCTTTCCTAAAACCCCGATGTTACCTGAGGCCATGATCCCCTTTGGGATGCTGACACAAGAGCTTCAACTCACAAACTCACATCCGCAGAGAATCGAGAGACTGAACCAAGGTTACTCTACAGACTTTATCATGTCCCCATGGAGTTTTGAATGTAGGGTCCCTCAGTCAACCTATCATTAGGTTTCTGTACTGACTGGAATCCACTGGACACCTGCAGCATGAATAATAAAATCCCAGAGACAAATATTGGGGATCAAGCTGAAGATCAGAAAAGCAAAGCAGTCAAGCCACCAGAGAGTTCTTACCTCTACTAAGGCTGGGTCTACCCTGACCTCAATATGACTGGAGACTAGTTGCCTAAGACTGAATGCTGAATTCCCTACTCATATGTTACATACATACATCTCTAGTTCTCAGACTAAGAGCATGAGCTCTGCTTTTCTTTTAAACTGATTCACTCTCATGTACCCAGTGTAGCCTTGAACTCAGAGAGATCCATCTGCCTCTGTCTCCTGAGTCCAAGTTTTAAAGGTGTGGCCACCACTGCCAAGCTTCTATATCTGTGAGTGGCTTTGCATTCTGATCTTCAGTGTCTTTGTTAGATCATATACAATTATCACCACAGATATCATCCCCAACAACACGTCTCCCTTCCTTTCCCTTCTCTTCCCTCCCTTCCCTTCTTTCCCTTTTCCCTTCTCTTCACTTCATTCCCTTCCCCTCTGAATGTTTTGAAATACCAAGTCTTTCCCATTGGTTTGTCTCAAACACACTCCACAGACTGTTCTAATTAGCAGATGATGGTGGAGACCTATACCACTTAAAACATAATTCACAGCAGATCTGTGAAAATGACTTAAGCCTGAATTATGGACATCACCATTCTTACTAGGCAATTTCTTCATGAATTATCCCACACAGGACTCTGTCTGCCCCTTTCACCATGAGGACTTTCTTTTCTGCTTTGTATTGGATTTCTCCCCAATGTTCTCCCCATCTTTCCTGTTCTTCCCTGTACTAACCAATCTGATCTCACTTTAATTTTCCAAAGATAAGTGTGCACAGATGTGTATCCTATGCTCCACCATTCTTTAAGTGACCCACTGCTTGGCCTTAGTTTTATCTCCTAGCAAAACCTAGCAAAGGTCTTACTTTCAAATCTTTTATTAATCCCTTGTGGAGTTTCTTAAGCCACAGTGAATGTGGGAAAGCTTTCTATTCTCTCTGCTATAATTACTCCACTCTCTTGAGGAAGCAAGAATAGCTTCATTGCTTTTGTTTTTAATAACTATTTTTTCTCCCAGGTATAATTTCTTGAATCCAATTTTCTTCATACATAGTACCTTTTAGATTTTACTGAATTCTTATTAGGTTATGTTTTTATATGCTAAATTGTGAGATTGGGTTAGGTTATTTTCATAGTACCCAGTTTGTTCAGAATTATATAACAATTTGAATATTTTACATATTCTTGTGAAATGTATATATGACTATCAGCTGCCAGTTACTTAAAGGATGCTTTTGCTGTTTTCTTATTTGAAAGAGAATTGATCCATGAAATCTCTTAGTGTCACTTTTGTTTGGTTCTCCCCTCCTGGAATCACAGATTCTGATTTTGAGTTATAAATGCATCATTGGGAAATACTGACCTACTAAATAGTACCAACTTTCTCTAGTCTTCCTTTTAAAATCAGAACAATGATAGCCAGAGACTGCCTCACTGCTCCTGTGAGGAGTAGATGAGATTATTTCTGTAAATTACATCATGATTCACTATTAGATAACCTTTGACGAGAGGACAGTAGACACAAAAGGGGGAGGAGAGCTGGAATGTTTAACATGATGCTTAGCAATGAGAGAACATTCTTTCAGTTGCTCTAACGCTTATCACAGGTATAACACTTCTTTCTCGCAAATACAAGCAGTAGACTATTCCAGGTAAATCTCTACTGATTCTGTGCAATATTAAAATGAAAGAAATGGAGTATGCTTTTCTCTATAAAGTTTCTGGAGGAAATTTCAAATTGTAATCACCTTTTGTAATACAGGATCATGTTACTTAGTCTCTAGCCACGTTAAAATGACAGCATGCGATGGGCTTCTCTGAATGAAAGAGGTGAACTTCCTTTTTCCCTAATGTCTATATTTTCCACTGTGCTCTGTTACCAACGGAAGGAAAAATGTTGGCATAAAATGTCAGCATAAAAGAGATTCATTTTCTCCAGAGGGACAGAAAGCAAGGAATAAGAGGCAAACACAGGATAAGACTAAGAGAGAAGGGTAAGGAAACAAGGAAAGGGAGGGCATGGGAATTTGTCCTGGAAGGACCAAGGACTGCCCCTGGAGAGAGGTGACAGACGTGAAACACAGGAAAACAGAGGGTTTTTTATGCTTTTGTTTTGTTTTGTTTGACACAGGGTTTTTCTATATTGCTATGGAGCCTGCCCTGGAACTCACTTTGTAGACCAGGCTGGCCTCTAACTCATAGAGAACTGCTTGCCACTGCCTCCCAAGTACTGAGGTTAAAGGCCTGGTCCCATAGCCAATTAGGCCCCTTCCAAAACACACAGACTCTATATTAATTATAAAAACTGTTGGCCAGTATTTAGGGCTTCTTATTGGCAAGCTCTGTCTTAATTATTAACCCATTTTTACTAATCTATGTATTGCCACAAGGCTGTGGCTAACCTGTAATCCAACATGTCACTCCTTACGCGGTATGGCATCTCTCCAAGGCCACTTTCTGCCTTCCTCTCCCTAGCCTTCTCCTGTTCTGGAAGGCCCACCTATGATTCCTGACTGGTTACTGAGCAAACAGTGTTTTATTCATCAACCTATAAGAGAAACATGTATACAGAAGGACATCCCCCATCCGTTTATTCTCTCATTTTGGCTCCCATGCACCCACTGTTCTGCAGAGTCACTTTCAATGACACCCTGCTTGGCATCAGTTTTATCTCCTAGTAGGACAAGGAGATAGTCTTATATTCTAATCTTTATAAATTACTTTGGGGTTTTGGTCTTATTTCATCTTCCAGAGAAAACTTTTCCCTGATTTCCCTTGACTCTTCTCCAGAATCTATACTCTGTTTAGATTCTGCTCTGTCTTCACTCCATTAGCAAATACTCCCAGAAGCTGAATGCATGTAATGTATTGTGCTGAATGCTTGTGAAGATCAGAGGAGACTGGGAGAGCATGAGTGCTTAGCAGATGCCCTCAGACTGTGACAAACCTTTCACTTCGGGAAGAAGAAGAAAGCAATGAAGAAAAGAAGTGTTTCCTACAAAAAGCTTCAGACTGACAGCGTTGTCAAGAAAAACTTAAACTGTGCCAGCAAAACATTCCCAAATACAGAATATACCACTGAGGAGTTCTGTGCCAGGTGGACCTGGCCCAGTTTGATATCACACATTGCTCTGTCATTGCCTCGGGAATGTGACCTGGAGTGAACATTGTTACAGCAGATCCTACAGAGCAGTAGCTGGATGTTCCCAGCTAATCACACTGTTAGCAGCCAGTTTTGCCCAGGGAAATCTCAGAATGACTCTATTTTATGCACCAGTTTTAAATCTTTGTTGAACTTACATTCTCATATTCTACAAGATGATTATTATAGCCACTTATTCAAACTTGCAACTTTTGGTGAACTACTGTATTTCAGGTTGATGGTGAAGTTTCTCTGAAGCCATTTTCCACCTCAAATTTATGAAAATTTCATAAATTACTGCAAGCATCATCTATGCACTTGACTTTCTATACATTAGTAGATTCAGATGCTTTTTGCATCAGCAAGGTCAAAAGCTCCTTAGAAACTGCAACTCCCTATTAATTGTTCAACATGCAGAAGGTATTCCACAATTCTGAAAATAATAATTGAATTAGGGCTGTTTTTGAATGCATAATGTGTGGCTGGTACTGTTCGGTATATTTTAATACATTAATGCTTTTCAACTTTAGTGTAGCCATTAAAGTTAATTTCATTAAATTAATATTTGTCAAAATATCACACCTTAGCAACTGAAAAACTAAATAATTTCCCCTGTTCACAGAGTTATATGATAACAGCACATATATTTAAATTCAGACTGCTCATTAGAGTTCACACACGTTGTGCTTTTGCTATAGAGTATCAAGAAGAAAATTGTCAGCTGAAAATGTTGACATAATATCTTTTGTTAAGCACATTCATCATGAAGCCTTTTTTCCTGTCTTCCAGGTCCCTGCATCCCCAACCCATGCCATAACGGAGGAACCTGTGAGATCAGTGAAGCATATCGAGGAGACACGTTCATAGGCTATGTTTGTAAATGTCCCCGTGGGTTTAATGGGATTCACTGTCAGCACAGTAAGTTATTTATATTCAATGTGCTTTTATTTTTATTGATCTATTGTATACAAGTCATTACCCTTTTGTTGGCAATCGAGTCATAGATCTGAAGAGTAATGCAAAACCCAGGCATTTGGCTCATGCTGTCTCTCTCCACAGTACATGTCATCTCTATGATGAGGGCTATTTCAGTCATCTCTATGATGAGGGCTGTTTCAATCCCTGTACTCTGTGTGGCTAGAAATTTGCTTGCTAGCCTTTGTCATTGTTATTCAATTTAAGTTTCAATAAGTTGTCTTTCATGTTATAGTATTTGTCTCTCTCTTTCATTCTTGTCCATAAAGCTAAATTCTCCAAACATAAAGCTAATTCTTCCAGCAATTATTCTGGTGATTAAGTTAACAAGAAATGCTCTAACAATAGCGGATATTCTAGACCCTAAACAATATATAACTCAGTGATATCTCAATGTGAAAATCTTTGCAAGTTCAACATACATAAAATGCACAATGAGTGGCATAGGGCCTTACTCACACTGTAGCTCAGCATACAGGAAGGCCACAATAAACTCTGAGCTGCTGAAGGATGTTAGTACAGAGGTGGCCACTTGCATGAGAGATTTTGAAGGAAGGGTAAAGTATTGGTCATGGCAAAAAGGTTAGGATGGGAGACAATCTTGGGTAGCAAGAATGGTTATGAAATATTGCCAATGAATGTGAAAGTAACAATGGTATGGAATGTAGAAGACAAATTTTGACACATGAGCCTTAGTCAGACTTTCAAAGCCCTAGGGCAAACACACTAGCTCTGAGACACTGGAAGCAGCCTGTGATTTCCTAGGGTGTTTCCACAGTCAGGAATTTGTAGAACTTCTGGAGAAAGTTCCATAATACCTACATATCTTGTTCCTTACAACTGGCACCAACACTTCTGCAATGATGTCTAAGTCTCAGATCTACTAATTTTTCTTATACAAGGTTCACAAGTACCAAGATTGATTGCCCTTGAAGGTAGGATCACAGCTCATTCTCCACATGGGAACATCTCAAAACATATCTAGAGAGACTAAGATGGGAGCTCTGCATCTCAGGTGCTATTCTATTCCCTTAATACCATGATGGAACTATAATAATCACTTCTGTAAGATGTGCTATAAGCTTCATAGCCTAGGGTGACAGTCTTCCTACCCCTGTAACTCAAGCATGAAATTCTTTGATATAGTACTCACAACAGACCTGTCTGAAAGAAGAACTACATGTTTATCATGGCTGGCTTCTAAAGTCTGCTTTGGGGATAGGTCAAAATTCTTGACTTCCTTTTTCTGCAAAAGTGGTTTAATATGTCTATTTTTATTGAAAATAATTTTTCATGCAATATATTCTGATCATGGTTTCCCCTCTCCTACTCCTGCCAGGTCCTCCCCACTGCCACTCACTCAACTCTATGACATTTCTTTCTCTGTGTCTCTAGAAAACAGAGTTGAACAACAGAAAAACACAGATAAGAATAAGAAAGAATTTAAAACACAGGAAACAGACATGCACACTTGAAATTAACGTGTAATTTCTGCTGCACATTGTTCAGTTGTGGATCCGTGTTCATTCCCATCTCCAGGAAAAGGAAGATTCTATGATGGTTGAGAAATACTTTGAACTTTGGTTATATAGCAGAATGTCATTAGGGGTCATTTTATTACTATGTTCTTTTAGAGGAACAATAGCATTTACTTTTCCCCTAGGACTGAGTCATATTCAGTCTAAGGTTCATGGCCAGGCAAGCAATCAAGGTGCAAAACCTGAGGAGTTGGTAACACACATTCCTAAATGGGATGTCCACACCAAACCTCTCCCTCAGGGCTCAGAGGGCTCCCATCAGATCCTCATTGAACATGTGAAAGAAAGATTATAGTAACCAGAGGAGATAGATGATTCCAAGGGAAAAGTATCTTTCAGATAAAATAGAAAAGCATATGAACTCACAAAGACTGTAACAGGATGACTGGGACCGTGCAGTATCAAGCTACACGGGGTCTGTATTAGTTGGGGTTACTATTGCTATGACAAAACACCGTGATGAAAAGCAAGTTGAGGAGGAAAGTGTTCATTTGTGTTTCACTTCCACATCATATTTGATCACAGAAAGAAATTAGGACAAGAACTCAAATGGGGCATGAACCTGCTGCAGGAGCTGATGCAGAGGCACTGGAAGAGTGCTGCTTATCAGCTTGCTCATCAGAGCTTGCTCAGCCTGCTTTAGTATCGAAGCTAGGATTACAAGCAGAAGAGTGGCTTTACCTATTATAGAGTGGACCGTCCTCCATTAATCACTTAATAAGAAAAACATCCTACAGTCAAATGATATGCAGGTAGTTTCTTAATTGAGGTTCTCTCCTTTCAGATGACTCTAGCTTGTGTCAAGTTTACGTAAAACTAGCTAGGGAAGGGTCCCAGCACTTAGATGGGGGATAGTACATCAAGCCCACCCATAACTAAGAATCTATCTGTAAAGTCACCTACTTGCAATGGAAAATTTTGTTTTAACCAATGGAATATCATTGGATATATTATCACTCATAAAAGTAGACACATTGCTGTGCAATAGATAGCCATGCAAAACAAACTACATACATAGCAAACTCACTGGTATTTTGTAGACTGTTTTTTCTTATATATTATGGTTTTCTCCCTTATATTTTTGTGGGTGTGTTCGTATATGTTCCATTTTTTTTGTCTGTTTGCTTTCTAGAGAGAGAGGGGAAGATCATGGAGTTAGATGGATGGGATTGACAATGACAGATAGCATTGCCATCATTTATTTTTTCCAAAGGAAATTATTCATGGAAGTTGTTAATGGGGACATTCTCATCTGCCTCTGGCTCCCACATGTGGTTTACTGAGCTGTTTCATGTGGAACATTAGAAATGGGGAAGTCTAAGATAGTTCTTACTCCCTTTCCCCACAGTAAGACATTCAATCTTTTCCCATATGCCCTTATCTCATAATATAGAAATCTGGACTTCACAATTTAATGATGAATTCCAAATTCCAAGTATCACTTTAAAACACAAAACCTCTCTCTGTACAGTAACTTACAACCCCCAAACTTAAGTGCCTCTCAAGAATTGCAGCTGAAAGCCCAAGGCTATGGAATTCAATTCAAAATTTGTATTTTATATCTAAATTATCCTGTTTGTCTCCTGTGGCATGCATCATTATTAGAAGCAAGACAAAAATGGATGAAAGAGGATTGAATTTGAATTCAGAAATTGGGATTCGAGACATGACCTTTACATTTATTGGATAAGTGACCTTGAGTCAGTCATTTGACCTTTCCTCAATTGAAAACATATAAATTAAGGAATTGAACTACAAAGAGTGACCTTGAGTTCACATAAGCCACAGGAGTATTATGACTAAATGGAAGCTTGCTCACAGCACAAAGGTTATCAAACCATCTCTTTCAGGTGGAATTGAAAAGGATTATACATTGGAAAAGCAGATTTAGAAGTGGTAGAGTCCTGAGAGATTCTTCCGTTAGGAGAAATAGGGGAGCTGTTTAATCCTCCACTAGAGGATTTGAGCTGGTTTTTCATTCTCATACCACCTCTATGACCCAGGAATTGCTACCCAGGGTGTGGTAAGATTTTGGTACCACCCAGAGGCATTTTGGAAGGTAGATTAACCACAAATAAGCTGAGTCAGAATTCGTATTTGATCACGATCCCCCAGTTAATCAACACACACACATAAAACTTGATAAATCATTCATGGGGATTGATAAATATACATATGACCAACTCAGAAAAAATAATCTTTTTTCTAGTTTCCACTATATATTAATAGAATTTTTTAAGATTTCTGAAATCCAGCTATTTAGAAAGGCAATAGCTAGAGAAGTGTTCTAATACAACAGTGATATTTTAAATTCATATGTAACGTATTTTCTCATATTTTTTAATTTTAAATGGCTTGTTTTACATGTCAATCCCAGTTCCCTCTCTCTCTCCTCCTCCCATACTCCCCCACCTTCCCCCCCATCCTCCCACCTTGTTGCCAATTCCTTCCGCATAGGGGATATCTAGAGTCTATCATTTCATCCAGGGTAGGGTCCAGGTACTTCCCTAAGAGTCCAGGCAGAGAGAGCAACCCTCTTTATGGTATGGACACACAATGTCTGTTAGTATTCGAGGGATAAACACTGATCCACTGCTCAGGACCCCATAAGTAGCCCAGGCCATCACATTGACTCTCACATTCAGGGGATCTGGATCAGTCCCATGCTGGCCTCCCAGCTGTCGGTCTGGGGTCCAAGAGCTCTCCCCTGTTCAGATCAGCTGTCTCTGCTGGTTTTGCCTGCCCATTCTTTGCCAATTTGCTCATCGCTCCTCTCTCTCTGTCGCTGGGTTCCTTGGGTTCTGTTCAGTATTTAACTGTGGGTGTTTGCCTCTGCTTCCATCAGTCACTGGATGAAGGCTCCAGGATGGTTATAGACATCAAGTTCATTATCAGGAATGGGCATTCAGGGTGGTCTCTACACTATTGCTTAGCTTGCCAATTGGTGTCATCCCTTTAGATCACTAGAGGTCACAATGATGCCTGATCTATCTTCTAACGTATGATTCCCTCTTCCCCCCTATCCTAACCCCCCAGTCGACCTTCCTGTTCTACCAAGTCCTACTCTCTCTTACACTTCTCCCCCTCTCTATTTCCCAGGTCCCCCTCCCCCGCAACCCTCGCCATATTCCTCATCTGTTTAGAGGATCTTGCCTCAATTCTCTTCTCTTGGGTACCATCTATATCTTTTAGGTTCTTTCCTGTTTCCCAGACTCTCTGTCAGTGGAAGTGCAGACTGGCACTCTCCTGATCCATGTTTAAAATCCATGTATGAGTGAGTACATACCATGTTTGTCTTTTTGTGACTGGATTACCTCACTCAGGATGGTTTCCTCCAGTGCTATCCATTTACCTGCGAATTTCAAGATTCCATTGTTTTTTTTTCTACTGAGTAATACTCCATTG